TATCTATCTATCTATCTATCTATGGCTATCTATCTATCTGTCTATCTATCTATCTATCTGTCTATCTATCTCTCTATCTGTCTGTCTGTCCATCTATCTATGTATCTATCTATCTGTCTATCTATCTATCTATCCATCTATCTATCTATCTATCTATATGGCTATCTATCTATCTATCTATCTGTCTATCTATCTCTCTATCTGTCTGTCCGTCCATCTATCTATGTATCTATCTATCTGTCTATCTATCTATCTATCTATTTATCTATCTATCTATCTATCTATCTATCTATATGGCTATCTATCTATCTGTCTATCTATCTATCTATCTGTCTATCTATCTCTCTATCTGTCTGTCTGTCCATCTATCTATGTATCTATCTATCTGTCTATCTATCTATCTATCTATATACCTTTGACATCTTGACAAAGATAGACAAAGCAAGAAATCAGCACTTGAACCATGTAGAATCCATGGAAGTCCTCTGTGACTCATGCAGGCTTCGTCGGTCCTGAGAAGAAATGGGTGGAGGACGCCGTTATGGGATCCCCCGAAAAAAGGTTACGGTTTGGGAAAAGTGCGGGGATCCCGTTGGGGGAAACGCAGAAACAAAAACCACCAACTTTTGATGAGTGACATCATTGGAATCGTCCAAGTTTGATGAGTAGATGCTTAATTAGTAAACTTGGACGATTCCAATGATGGCCATCAACCCTCTGGTAAACTAACATTGCTATTGAAAATGGCCATTTATAGTGAGTTTTCATGAGTTTTCCCATTAAAAATGGTGATTTTCCATAGTTATGTTAGTTTACCAGAGGGTATAGGGCATGATGAAACGTGACCAAAACATAATTGTTTCAGTGAGGTAACTTCTGCAGGGACAGGCTGCTCTCCTCATCTTAGGAGTAGATGGAATTATCCCCAATTTGAGTTTCCACCAACGTGGAAGAGTTCAGAGTCATATGCCTTTGGCCCCATTCATCTTGGGGGCTCATGTGGATGGTTTTTAACTTGTTCAAATTCCATTTTTTGTTATTATTGGCATATATAGGCTCTCTCTATATTATATATATATATCATTATATCCCTAATTCCATGATACGTTTTGTTCCAAATAACAATGTTAAAGAACCATTATTGATGCTTAAGCCCCTCTATTTTCATCTATGTTCATCTATTTTCTATAGCCAGCCACAGCTAAGCATTGCTAGGATGCTTTCTCCAAGGTGACGGAGTTCAACGGAGTGCCTTGGCGGGTTGAGACAAATATATGGCAGCTCAAAATGGGATATAAACTAACACTGAACCCTCTACAATGGCCATTAAATCCCTATGGTACTTAATGGTAATTAATGGTGCAGTGGCCATTTATCCCAATACTATACACTAAGTTACAATGGTTAGTTTATCAAGCCAAAATAGTAACTTAGTGGATAGACTGCAACCAATGGCCATTAAATAAATCGTCACGCAACCAGTGGTATAATGGGAAGATTCTTCTGACATAGTTGACAATAACTGAACTCTGATAAAGATTACGACCGGAATTGGATGTCACTGGAATCGAATGATGAGAATTGGATTCGGATCTCCCAAAACGGTCGAACTGTTCAGGAATTTCTCCAGAACAGTGGGGGGTTTATCCAATTTATCCAAGATCTTTTTCTGGATATGAAAGGGATGTTTTTTTTTTTTTTGTTGGCAAACCTCGAATAGAAAAAATCGCGAACTAAAACATAAAAGGGCTACGACAGATTGGCCGTGAGCGGATTCCAGTAGTCGACTAGTCGACTAGCCATTGGGGTTGTAACCCTCCAGCATGACACCAATAGGTGTGGCTTTTGAATTAGGTTTGCCAAATCGTCGTAGCCGAAAAGATTCAAAAAGGTCACTTACGATAATTTAGTATTGTTATAGGATTTTACGAAATTCAGGCTCTTTCTTGGGGGGTTGCTATGTTTATTTCTCATCCAATCCTGAGATAATGATTAATATGCTGCTTATTTGAATGTGCGATTCTTGTCCATTGTACGAACACCAGCTATAAAGATTATAAAGGTAGAAAAGTAAAAACAAGTACTTTACCACTATGTATTGTTTTCGTAGTGTTCTACTTTGGACTGTTGGAACCTGGATGTTGTATGATTTGGTGGGTGATTCACCATGGTAACCATCACCCAGTATTTTGGTTTATGAAATGAATAAAACAAACCCTACAGATTTGGGGATGTTTCATGATTTTTCTTCGATGGCTTATTACATAAACGATCGATAAAGTGGCTTCAACATTAGATTGAGTACTGTTTTTGTAACTTTGTCGAACTTGGACATTTGGACATGGACGAGAGGCTGCGTTGAGTGTTTGTCAGAAACCGGTGGTCTCCCATAGCTCTGTTGCTAGGGCTTACTATGATAGTTTACCGGAGGATACTCGTAGACTTTGAGTTTCAACCTGTTTCAACGGTCGGACGGGGTTTGCTGAGATTTTTGTTTATATAATCTAGGTCTTCCAGCCCTAGTTGGTGATCTAAATCCTTTTTCTTAGGTGATATATGTGATATTATATCTTCTCTAGATCCTTAGGTCCATATATCGTTCTATATCTCTATGATGGGATGGATCTAGGTGATCTATATAGATGTTCCATCCCCCTAATACTAAACACCCAATTATTATGTGGATATGTGAATATTTCCCTACTAAACCATGGTTTCTCGGAGGTGTTTAATATTAGGGGGATGGGATTGTATATAGATCTTCCATCCTTAGTCTTCCAGCTGTGAAACGGTCGAGTGTCCGCGAGGTGAGCCGCGAAGAGTTCATGCAAGTCGTGGACCTCTACGACGAAAGGCGCCGCTTTTTTTGCCATGAGAACAGACCAAAAGATGGCTAATTAACTGACGGCTAACCGATGGCTAAAACATTGCTAAAAAAATGGTAAAAATGGCAAAAAGATTGCGAACAATTGAATGTTTTTTTTGAAATAATGAATGGGATCTAACTATGAACATATATGAGCCAATGGGATTGTCTGTGGCTTTAAAATGAGAACATAGCAACATATGGTTATATGGAGGTTTCCAAGTCATGGGGGTACCCCTAAATCATCCAAGTCATGGATGACCAAACTATAGTATTGAAACCTATGATTTTGGGGGTCCCCCATTTTAAGACACCCCCATATGGGTTTGTCTTAAAATGGGAAAACATACATAAATTTTGGACATCATGATGATTCACCAATGGATTTACGGGTACCCTTCTTTCGGGGACAGCCATAATATATCTGGGTAAATTATAACGACCTCACTGCGACCTCACTGGAATCATGGTTAATAAGGGAAATCATCCCCAAATGGCCTTAATTCAGGTTAGTGAAATATTATAATTTACCCAGATATATTATCTATTTGGGATCACTGAAAACGTTGATTCCTTCATTCATCTTTATTCGCAGCAGCCACTCTCAGACTGCGAATGGGATTGGCCAGTTCGGTGCCGCTGACCGCTGAACAATCCATTGGAGATCAAGAAAAGCCCAAGTGAGCCATGAACAAAACATCCTGGTTAATTGGTTACTATAGGGACTTATTCTACCTGATTTACTGGGGATGATGATATCCCATAGTAGGGAAAACCTATCAACCAACTAGTATACATACTAATGGGATGGGATAGGTTACATGTTTTGGTTTGTTTTTTTAATGGCAAGTTATGTTTGTTTAATTCTTGAGTTGCTGAAAGATCTGCAGCTGACATTGGTCAGGCAACGTGAGAACTTTGAAGAGAAGTTTATCAGTTGCGACGCAGATGGTTCAGGGCAGAAGCATGGCATGAAAAAGCCCTAACCAAGCGTAGTTTTGATACGATGGGGACAAGATCAGTACAATACCCATATGCTCCATGTATGGTATATTTACCTACATGTGGGTGATTTTTAAGGCAAATGTTGGCAAAAATATGTAAATATTCCAGCACCATGGAGCATACGGGATATGACAGGGGTGTATCTCAAGAAGAATAAGAATTGGTGCCACTCCATTTTATGGCAATTCTAGTGGAGAAAATGGCTTTTTAACCCATGAGATTTGGGTGACCCCGCTTGCAGAGGCCCAGACTTTTTTCTTGGGGCGGGTGTGGCAATGTGCTAGCAGGTTTTTTGGAACATCAATTTCAACATATGTTTGCATTCCAGCGTTGTTTACTTGTTGTTTCTGATTGGACGACTTACGATGTAATATATATATATGGAGTCTTGAATGCACTTGATTGAAATAGTGAACTCCTTGTTCAGATGATGTTCCCCATTGACATGGATTGACCACATGTTTTGAAAGGCTGGTTCGTTTGAATCCTCAGCGTCCCCATGATGCCACTGGGTTGTGCAAACAACTCTGTGTTTTTTCCAAGTTAAAATGGTTCAGAAACCTGGACTAAGTGGATTGAAATCGATCCTGATAGATCATTCAGTAGGCAACTGCGGCAACAGGTGACCCAAAGGAATTTGGGACTTCGCAACATCTGGGAATAAACTAAATTGACATTCTCAGATCAGAATCAAATGATTTAGGCTGCCATGATTCACCAACAACTCCTGCCCTAATTTTTCTGGCTCAAAACTTCAGTAATTACTGACAGCTCTTAACAGAGCGGGGACCAAGGGCAGCATGCGGCGGAGATCCAGCATCAAATTCACTATTTCTAACTATATTTACAGCTTTGAGCCCGCTTGGCACCTGCTATCCCGTTTCACTCTGTCCTCCCGCAAGGGAGTGCGTACCGTGCCGTGGGGGGGTCATAATACCACCATCAGTCAGAAATGAATCAGACACATTTTGGAAGCCCAAACAGATTTTGTGAACCTTGGGTGTACTTTCATGATCTTTCATGCCAGCTACACATGCTATCAATTGATATCAAATAAATTCAAACAATCAAGCATACCCAGCTACAAATCATCCCACATTTCTATCTCGTCCCACAGTATCCGCACCCCCTGTGCCGGGCGCCAGTCTTCACGCTCCGGTTTTCGGTCGGAGACAGCCCCAGACCTGCCTCGGTAAAAAACCGGAAAGTCCGGGCGCCGGGCACCATGCCGAATGATGCTCCAATCAGGCAAGAGGGGGTGCTCCGTCTGGGATTGTTTGATCACTGGGAAGAACTTCAATGGACTATCACCATTTTCCCTAGTAAAATTGCCATTGGGTATACCCTCCAGTTTCAGAGACACCCATTTCAAGATGTGGCCATGTGTTTTTTTTGGGGCGGGAAGCCAGGGGTCAAGGATCAAGATGATCAAGTCAAAACAAGTGAGTGGGCCACACGGACTGATTACCTGTAAGAGCTGTTTATCATCGTTGGTCCCCAACAATAAATATACAGGTGACACTGACGACCCCTGAGACAGATCCACGTGGGTTTTTTGACCAATTGTAGTGATGAATTTTGATGAATTTTGTAGTTCCTAAGTTGGTGAGATCAGGAGACGATCTCCTGATGCCTAGTGATATGTGTATATCTATATATTATATATATATATTATATATATATATACATGATTATATATATATACATACGGGCTTTCCTAAACAGATCCAGATATGGGTGAACATCCAGAGTCCCTTTGACTCCCTTCCTAGCTTGTTGGCTCATCTCCCTGTTTTGATGGACATCTACCCCATCCCTTACCTGTACACTGCTGGTTGATCATATTTATATGATTGCTTCCTCCTCCTCCTGCTGAACGGCTAGCATTTATAGTTATAGAGACCGCATTTTGCGAACGGTTCAATTCCCATTGTTCGACAGAAAATATTGGCCACACTGCCACACTGCCACACTACCATTGTCGTTCGTGAACGTCGGACATCAATCTGGCAAGTCTCTCCCAGTTTGGCCCCGAAAAAAACAAATCGAACAGTAAATCACCACCAAAATAGTAGGAATTCATATAGGGATTCTATGAATCGTTTTCCATATATATATATATATATGATATATATATATATATATGTGATATATATATATATATATATCATTATGTATCCATATATGCCATATATATGCCATATATATGCCATATATATGTATATATGTATATATATATGTACACTTATCCTTTATTTTCTTGTTTTGGGGCAGAGGTTCCATAGCCCAAAACGCCCCAAAAAACCAAGTGGTGCTCCAGGAATATCAGCACGAACAGCTCGAATTTGGGCGTCCCAGGTGTGCCCAGGGTGAACATCACTGGGGGTGGTTGCAAAATCCTGCACCAGTTGATACCCTCTGGTAAACATACAAAAAACTATGGAAAATCACCATTTTTAATGGGAAAACTCACTATAAATGGCCATTTTCAATAGCTATGTTAAATTACCAGAGGGTAAACATCCCATTTTTCATAGGGTTTCAACCATCCTTTAGGTGGTGCAGGATTTTGCAACCATCCACCGTATCGGCTGCCTCCGGCTTCAAAGTTCGGCAGTACTCATCGTGTTGGTCCATTGGTCCATTGGTCTACCAACAATGGCCGGCATTGGGGCCTGGGTCTCAAGATGTCTCAAGTAAGTCGGGCACTATGAGGCTTGAAATCATGAGATGGAATGGGATGGGGAGTTTACACCCAAAGCACTTCAGTGTACTTTATTGGATAACTCATCCATAGAGCACTGGAACATTTTTATTTTAGGATAAGTTGAAAGAATCTCCTTTCCGACTGACCTCATATGCATGTCCAAAATGAGCTTCTTGAGCCTTCGGTTTCTTTGCCGGTGGGCATTTGTGCTAGTTTGATAGTTACATATAGTTACTCAGTGATGGCAGGACATCCTATTCAGATCAGAAATAACCTCTTTACAGGATATCTAAGGTTGACCATTCAGAGCATGTTAGAACTCATTGCCATCACCTTCAAAGTATTCAAAGTAGCAACCGTTGCTTAGTCTTCCAGGGCTTTGGTGTTGGCACTAGCTTTTTTTTTTCGCCAGTCTTGTTGTACCCGAGCTGCGGAAACGGAAGAGAACAGGAGACGCAAATAACGTATATAAATTATCCATACTTATCCAACGCATTTCTTTGCATTTGTTGGTCAACCCCTCAAACCTTCCCATTGGTTTGTCAGAACATAGGGTATACCCCGAATGTTACTGGTTTATCACAGCTGTCGCATTCAAAAGTGACGTTTTTTTGTTGTTTCGATCCGATGTTCTCCGTCATCTTCAGAAACATTCAAAAACATCATGCTTACGTTTTCTATCCAATTATATAATTATTATCCAATAATTTTTCCGTTCCATAGCCGAAAAATCCCAGACATTTCTTGGTTTCGCGACATAATGTCAACCCCGGATTTATAAACCCTGGCTGTTCAATTGGGGGGGTACCATTTCAGTAGCCATTTACTATTTGGGGGAACCACCACAATTAACAAATCAACCCGGGTTTAACAATCTCATTAATCATGTCAACCCCGGGATTGAAAATTACCATTTCAGTACCCATTTCAGTAGCCAGGGTTTAATCCGGGGTTGACATCAAAATCTCCCAGAAAGTTGCCTGGTGGTTCTATCGTCCCAGGCGCCGCTCGGAGTTCGCCCACCAACAGCACCACCAGCCCGCGGCGTAAGCGCCTTCCCACAGGCACCGCTGATGCCATTTGTTCATGTGGAAAGCCAAAATGATACCAATAATGACTTACAATAATTGGGTGGGAGTCCATTCATCCCCAAAAATGGGAGTTGAGAAAATTCTTGGGTTTACCACATGAGTGGGATTTTGTTCGACAATCTTAATATGGTGCGCTTCCTGTTGCTTGCGAGTCAAACCAAGCACCAATGCATACCACCCGCAGAACGGTTGTTGTTTCTCAGGATCTTTGTGTGTCCCAAGTGGCGCATTTAAAATCGATGAAAGCTGCGGCAGCACAGTGGTTTCATTGGTGAACTCGCCATGTGTTTGCGTAGTTCACCGATTTTTCATGTGGCTACTTGGTGGCTCATCCCACGGCTCGTAAGTGGCTTATAACCCCAGTGATTTACATGGGATAAGTAGGGTTAATCCACTTATAACTGGGGTTATAACCCACTTACTAAGTGGGATGAGCCACCAAGTACTGGTTTCAGATATAGCCTGATATAGCTTTGAATGGTCAACCTAACCATGTTTAGGCTGATATGCCGCAATCGCTGGAGCACAGTTCCCCCATCGGCCAGGCAGTCAACACGAAATGCTGCAGAGTATGCCAGAGGATGAGGCTGGGAGTTGGAACACCTGTGAAGGCGATGAAAAAACAGCGCTTGTTTTGAAAAAGGCCAGGATTGTATCATCAAAACTGATGACTAAACCAACAAAAATGGTGGTATCATGGAGTATGATCGGGATGTGGATAGAAAACCTAGGATTGTCTATGAAGATGAACTCTCAGAAAGCAAATGTTTGGGCCAGTCGCCTCACAAAATGTCCTGAAATGAGTTGGATATTGGTCCTCAAATGCATGCCTTTTGTGGTGCAGGGATGTGCAGGGTGTGCCTTCCCATCTAATGATTAGCACAACCCCAGCAAGACCAACTTGCAGGCGAAAACCCATTAAAAGAATCACGCAAATTCAGCAGCTGTTCTGTCCATTTGTTCGCGGCCACTGAGCCGCAAACTGCGCGGTTTGCTGCAGGTCTTCATCCATATTTTGGATCTCTTAGAGATGCACCTTGGTATGGTCATGGCTTGAAACTGGAGATGAACCCCAGAAGCGGCAGGGTTCCATGAAGAAAAATAACATCAAACGATTGGGAAAGATGGGAACCGCCCATATGGCCCATATGTATATATATATATATACATATGTGTGTGTGTTTGTGGAATCACTTATGGGAATCCACTTCAATTCCACTGGAAGGGAAGGTCATCACATGTACCGCCTCAGTTGGTTTCCGGGAATGGTTGCAATCCGCCCATTTCTAGTTGGTCAGTGTCTTATTGTGTTTTTAAGGCCCCCCTAGCCTATTGATATATTCATTCATGCTTAAGTATGCTCAAGTTATATCCCTATAACTCAATACCTCCTGGGTGATATGACATGAAATGACACTTGGAAGTCCTGCTACAGAAAGATACTGTTGGATATCAAAGTACCTACAAATTGTGTTTCCTTCCTTTTCTTGTCTTTGATCAACACAAAATCACACGTATCATTTTTAAGGAAGTGTATATGATCACAAAATCACATTATAGTTATCAAAAAAAGATGCCGAACAGCATGAAATATGTTCCCACAACATTTCGTAACATCATAGTGGTTTCATACCTTAAAGATTACTGTATATAGTGTTTATGTTTATATATATATAATTATATAAGTATATATAATTATATGTAATTATATATAGGGCATTACTGTATTCCAAAGTCATCCATATATCAATATATAATATATATTATATATATATTATTTTAAGATCACTGTATGTTGCCATCGTGTTCTGATCTGCCATCTCTCCTTAGGCAAGATGAGTTCGACTCCTCCACGGGCTCGGATCGAGACTCTGAGGCGCTGAGCGCATGGCGCTTCGCATGGCGGAGCTGACGTGCCCGGTGTCATCAAACATGGCAGAAATGGAGGTTTTAATGGGAAAACCATAGGAAAACCATAGAAAAACCATAGGAAAATGGAGGTTTATCCAGGTAATTAAATTGGAGGTCTAACAATCGGAATTTGTGTGAATTTATATTTTCTAGTATACGATACATGGTGAATATTCATGACTATTCCATATTTCCATGTGTGTCATTAGATTAGATTACCCTTTGGCAAATTGAAGTAGGCACCGAAAATAACCCATTTTTAATGGAAACTAATCTTCCAACCCCGATACATGCCAGGGTGGTCATGTTAATTTACTGGAGGGGAAGGTTAGTAAATTAGATATTCACAACTTTCAGGTGAGTTTGATGGATAGAGAGATCATTCAACCGGCTGCACAGTGATTTTCCTGGTGTTGATACCACTTATATAATATTTGCTTTAAGCAACAGGTAGATTGGATAATGGTTTTCCATAAAAATATTACCAGTGGTAGCTCCATAAGTGTTGATATGTCCAGGTCATTACAAGTGGGGCACGGAGGGAAACCTCAGGCCTGGATGTAGTGAAGAACATTCCGATTTGCTCCACTTGTTTGTTCTTTCAACAATGAATTGATCGTAGCTGGTTGCTGGTTCAATCCCCGAAAATTACCATACGTTCCAGTCTCTGGATGTTCTCTTGATACCCTCCAGTATCAGCGAAATTCAACCGGAAACACCTACATTAACAGGAAAACCATGCAAAATCATGGTGTTATATGGTGTTCTCTTAAATAAACAAGCCATTCCAGTTTCATCAGATTTTCGGTGAGAAAAAAATCTACGCGATTTCTGCCTGGTGATACCACAGGTGGGCGATGACCTGTCTTCCATGGCATCGGACCTTGAGGATGATGAGGAGGAAAGGGGTGTCTCCGACCGCGGGTGATTTTTCACGTCAAAAACGGTGGTACTACGAACTGCGAACTGGAAGAATCATCCATTTGTATCTGGTTGGTGGTTTCAAACATTTTTTTTCCATGATATATGGGATAATCCTTCCCATTGACTAATATTTTTCCAGATGGTTAAAACCACCAACCAGATTTTGAAGAACAGTAAATCATCATAAATCATCTATACATGTGTTTTCAGCATGGTAATTATCATGTTTTATCGTCGAACTTAAATGGGTCATTTTTACCATAGCTATATTATAAATCAATGTCAGTCAGCTATAAATGGGTCATCTATACCATAGCAAATTGTTAAATAACCAGAGGGTACCGGATCACTATGGTTGCGCTATCGTTCTGGTGCGTTTGAGGAAGTCTTCGGAAAAATGAACCAGGAAATGGGTTGGACTGTTACTCAGCATATTTTGGACATATCTTGTACTGATGCGGGATCTGCATGGATATGCTTGGATGAATTCGAACCAAGCCCTTGATTGCCCTTGCCTCCTCTTTTGGAGTACCCACGTGGCCAGGAATGGGACCCAAGAGATGAATCGAGCTGGAAGCTCACTCCCTTGGAGCTTAGCAAGGTGGGAATCCCAAAAGTGGCCGATGGTGTGTTTTGGGCTGACAAAAAGTGGTGCTTTCTTAAATATGGGGATGAGTCAAAACCATGCAAAACTGATATCTAGATCGGGGATCCACATCCACCAGCGATGTGGATCACCATTTTACCAGGCTTTTGAACCCATAGAAAGGTGGGTAATTACCATTTTAAATGGGTAAACCCAACAATTTCTATGTGGTACCCATTTTACCATGTTTCCATGTTTTAGCTACCCATAGAAATTGAACGATGATCCTCGACGAGAAGATGTTTCTTCGGGCTCTCCAAACCATCAACCGGAACTCGGAGAGTGCTGCCGCAGATCATCCAATAAACCTCAATAGTTCTTAAGATACGCGCGCACATATGTATACAACATGAAATCTACTACGGTATACTATGTATACTGAGCACGAAGTAGCAGGAACCTATGGTGCATTTTTAAGCAGTATACACTTCAGGATAGCTATCTATTTGCATGTCGATTTATCCTATATATCCTATCCAGTTTTTCCTATTTATCTTATCAATCCTATCTTTCCATATCTTGCCTATCTATGGTTCCTTTCCTATCATCGTTATCTTTCCTATCTTTCCTATTTATCGTATCTATCTTATATTGTATCCATTTTATCCATTTTGTCCATCGCATGCATCCATTTATCCATCCATCCATCTATCCATCCATCCATCTCTCCATCCATCCATCTATCCATCTATCCGGCCATCCATCTATCCGGCTATCCATCTATCATCATCTATCTATCTATCCATCCATCCATCCATACATCTATCCATCTATCCGGCTATCCATCTATCCGGCTATCCATCTATCCGGCTATCCATCCGTCTATCCGGCTATCCATCTATCCATCTATCCATCTTTCGATCTATCTATGTATCCATCTACCCATCTATCCACCTATCATCATCTATCGATCTATCCGGCTATCCATGTATCCATCTACCCATCTTTCCATCTATCCATCTACCCATCTATCCATCAATCATTATTTATCGATCTATCCATCCATCCATCCATCTATCATCTCTATATAGTTTATCTATTGGGTTTATATCCAGATGGAGCAGATCAGCAGATCCCATTTAGATCACATCCTGAGGTGATCCAAGAGCTGAGACAACGAAGGCTTCCGGCCATTGAGGTGTCCAAGATGATCATCCGCAGCGTGACTCGATCAGATTTCAGACATAGGGACGTGGTGTTTAACATGTTATAGACATCATATAGATGATATGTCCAAATCTAATGTAGATATGTCCAAATCTAATATACATATATATATAATATATATATAGTATATTTTACCCTCTGGTTATTCAACATAGCCATGGAAAATCACCATGTTTAATAGGTAAACCATCTATAAATGGGCCATTTTCCATGGCTATGTTAAATGACCAGATGGTAATACATAACTGAAATATAAACACAATGATGTTGAATACAAACATGTCATGTTGAAATAGAACATATTAACATCCTTCAATATATCCGTTAAACACATTATTTTCATACATAATTGAATACAAACATGTTTTTAAAGGACAGTACTGACGCAGGAGTCTCAGGATGATTCCTGCATCAGTGCACGTCAGGTCATTGTCCACTACTCGCATCAGCCGAACGTGATCCACATCCCTGTTGCTTGGATCAAAGTTTCCCCTAAATGTTCCAGGGACAAAACAAATGCTGGAAACTCCATGGATCATTCTATGTTTTGTGTTTTTCCTATTTTTCCTATGGTTTTCCCTGGTTTTTCCAATGGATTTCATGGTGTTTTTTTTTCCATCGCTTTCGTGGTGGCTTGGAACTGCGCGGATCTGAACCGCCGTCAGGCACCGGAAGTGGGTTCACGCTTCGTGGTGGTGGGCGCCCCTTGGAGATGCCCTTGGTGCTGCCCAAAAAAATGGGGGATTTCCATAGCCATGGGGGATCCCAAAATGGTTGGTTTATAAATGAAAAAAAACAATCTAAAATAGGATGATTTGGAGGTACCCCCATGACTTAGGAAAGCCTCATATACATTAATATGTATATACAATGCATCAAACATCCAACATAGAAGTACAACAAAACTTTAAGTACTCATGAGAAATGGAGATAGAACTGGTTTTCTTCAAAGTTATTGTACTGTAATATGTGCTGTAATCATATATATATATATATATCACCCGAGAGCCATGAAAATCCATTGAGCATCCCAAGCCGAAGTCCCAAAATCGCGCGCCCGCTGTCGTAAGTCCCGAGGACTTGCACGGACACTTTGGAGATCTGAGACATCTCTTGGAGGACCATGGAGAGCCGTCTCCTGGGCCCAAGGGGGCTGCCTCTTGGCTGGTCTTTTCACCATGAGGGATGGGGAAACCGAGCTCACCATCTCTGGCCTGGATGTAACTGGAAGATGATTTTGGAATCTTAGCTAACTATAATATAGCTCTTTGATAGATGGAATGAAGGTAACTGGAAGTGACTCAAGTGCCTCAGTGAATTTGGGGCGTTTTTCTCTTCAGGATTTAACCAGGAAATGACTGAGTAATTGGGATATGTTCGCATTTAGTGGGATTTACCACCCCCCCAACTAACATTTGAAGCCTGAGAATAGCCCATTTTCTGAGAAGAAAGTAGTCTTCAATTCGTATTTGGCAGGGTCTATCTTAAGTGGAGGTATGATAAGCGGCCCAAAAACCTTGGATTTAACTGATGACTAATATGGTTTGTCTCAAACTGGGGCTGTCTCCCGTTATGTGTCAGTCCTCGGAAAATTCGGCCTGATGGAATGCTGGAATGGAAATCATCCCGCCTGAAGATTCTAAGATACCTGAAGCCTTTCTGAAATGCATTTGACTATTTAAGGTTGTTTATTTGTTGAATTCACCATACAGGAGTTAGATATGTAGCATTCAAAAACGCAGAATAGAGAGAGAGAGAGAGTAGGTGGTTGGTGGTGATATACGGTAGATCCATGGTAAATCCCATCAGCGTTGGTGGAAATGTATTGGATCATATTGGATCTCAAAAATCTCAGCGCAGATCTTCATGCTGTGGGGCTGGATCCACCTGGGAAAACTCGAAAATTCCAGATCTAAATCCTGGGAATTTGGGGGTTGAAGGTGGGTCAAGATAGCTGAAACTCCTGAATTTAAAATCTCTAGTTGGTAACCCCAACAATAAACAGAAAATATTGAACCATCCCAAAAATAGCCACGGCCATCATGGCTGGTAACTATAAACCGTCCCCAAATGGTCGGTTTATGGCTTGGGGTTTACCATGGTTTACCACATTCATTTGGTGAAAACTTGATGGCCCTAGTTTCGGGCAACAAAACTCGCTGGGAAACCCGATAAGTCGCATGGGTTTCAACAATTTTAAACATCATTTTCTTCATTTTCCCAGAAAAAACTCCACATCTGAGGTTCGCTTTTTGTTCAACGGTGACTTCGTGGATCGTGGTACTTGGGGGCCCGAGGTGCAGCGTTTGAAACGTGAACGTCTGACACCAGAGGATCAAAGTCAAAAAGGATAAAAAAGGTAAAACCCTATACTACTGTAGTACAATAAAAAGGATAAAAAAGGTATTGTAGTACAATAGTGGTCAGTTACTTTTCGTTTCCTTTTTTTTTTCGTAGATTCGGATCCTTTGGGTGGGTTACTGTATATTTATGATTATGCAATATGTTTTATTTTAACGACATTTGGATACATTGGGGGGTGACATGTGTATAAATGTATGCAATACATGGATGATTTTGGCAATCCCTGCAGGCAAAACACTACAGAATTGTAACAAAAAACAAGTTTTGACATTGGTGTACGACGGATTCCCGACACAAGGCTTAAAAAAATGTCTTTTGAAGAAGACCCCCAGAAGTGGAATCTGAGCATCCCAGAAAAAGTTTCAGCAACAAAGCATCTTGATCATTTTTGAGAATAGTGGGTTTCCCACTTTGCCGGACTTGGCAAAGAAGCGTTTTTCAGAATCCGAGCTTCCTTGATCAAACAGCCTCCTCACTTTACTATGGGATATAATATTGATATATTGCATGAATCATTTTTAGGGGCCAAACATGTAGGGATTCTACAGATAATTGGGGTGGACCCACTGCCTCCTCAAAAACCTCAACGGATCGACGCGATCGATGACAGGTGCTATTGCTGCTCTATGCTTTGAAGATCAAATACCCCTCAGCAGCCGCTTGGAGAAGAAAGTCATAACTGGTGGTTACCCCATGGATCAAGAACCTCCAGTCTCATCCAGTCACCAGTTTATTGATAGGCGGTCCCAATCAATCAGTAGTTTACAGGGCGCAGCCCCCACAATGAATCGCCATTCCGAACACACTGAAACGGTGATGAAACGTGATGAACAGGTCCGTTGTGCTGTTGCTACTTCCTTTTATTCCGCTATTCCAAACCAAGAAGTCAAATACAGAAAGCTGAAACGATGCCATGCAGGGATCTGGTTCTGATGGCTGGCATGGCTGTTGCTGTCTGCCTGTTCAGAGCCTTTTCCCAGGCTGAATTCAAGGGAGTCATAGTCAGATAGTATCAGATAGTGGATACATGTGGATAATAGAAGGCTGTGTCAAGTTTTGAATTCGAAAGTTGACTGGAGTACTTCCGTACTTCCCCTTCTACTTTTCACAGCGCTTCTTCATTTAACGTGGGGCCGGCAGATCACTATAGGTCGATCCAAGCACGATATCCAGTCGCTTTTTCGCCAGTTTTCCAAGGTCTTTCTGAATCGTGGGAATCATGAAGACCAGTCGCAAAACCAGTTGTCACTTGGCGCTTACTGGTACTGTGTGGCATCCCCCTGCATCCCCCGGTGATGACTGATTCATGATGATGTTTTTTCATGGGCTGCCCATTGCCATTGGGTTTCTGAAATCTGATTTGACTTGACGAAATCTATGGCAGGTGGTTTTTGCGATTATGCTGTCGACTTGATTTAAGTGGCCCTTCTTTACCAGAATCTGAGTTCATTCGTTTTATTTTGTCATAGCTGTTATGCCAACACATATCAACCCCACAAAAGAATACAAACGATTTAACGGGAGAATTCTACTACAATTGACAATAGTGATACTTGATACTTTTCTATGTGTTTTTTGTTTCCTCTCGGGCTTGCCATATGTTAGTTTCTACAAACCTCACGAGTTTCATCAGTTTCATCCCTATGAAATTTTGCAACAACGATGATGGGCCAGCTTTGGGGCAGATGATTTCTGTATTATAGCAGTATATTTTTAGATATACTATATTATTATAATATATATATATATGTATGTATAGTAGATTTGGACATATCTACATTAGATTTGGACATATCATCTCTATGATTCAATATGATGTCTACACTGTTTCTGCCTTTGTCCATATCTACATGATATCTGCATCACTTTTACATCATGTCCACGTTTTTTTTCTACGCTCTCATGATTTTACGGATATTCCACATTGATATATATATATATAAACAACGGTTTTACGATTAAGAACGCTATTTGAGCTCAAATTCACCATGCATATCCATTTATGGCTTATGATTCTGACGTATCACCCTGGCCTCAATGGAAAGGTTTAAGGGAGAGCCTGCAGGAAACCATAGATTTTCCCCATGAAGTAGACGGGTTTCCTGTAACCCTGGAAGTCCAGGACCTCAAAAAGAATGTCCTTATGAAAATCCGTAGAAAGTGGATCAAAAAAGTACGCCCATACAAAATTGTCAAAAATACGGGGATTATATATCCTTTTTTGTGCCACTTTCGGCAAGGACTCAGAAAGTAGGAGCGGACTTTTGGGGTAATTTTCCCCAGATTTTCCCATAAAAAACGATCCATTGATGGCCCTTCGGGTCACCGGAGCGCGTTGTGGGAGGCCGGACAACGGCTTCGTTCACTCGCACTGCACCCGGGCCTTCGGAGCCGAAGCCCTACCCATGCCGCTCGGAAAACGCCATCCAAAAGTTATCCATGGTTGTTCCATCTTAACATCTGGATTTTTTTCATAGTTTTTGTTCCATGTTTAGTTCTTCACTTTCCATAAATTGTCAATTTTGGGTTCTTCAATATTTGCATAGGCTGTCCATTTAATTCCATTTCCAGTTCTTCAATTACATAATATGGATGGTGAATGCTGGAGAAAATATGGACATGTTATGGTGATGTTTTCAGAACGGAAACTTGACATGTTTGTTGGCGACTTCCGAGAAAATGAAAATTTGACATATGATTTAATGTTTGACATCTGAAAATGATGATGGAACTGATTGAACGAATTGAACATGATGATCTTTATCGTTTTGTTCGGAATTGAAGCTTTGAAACTGTTGAAAGGTGGATCTTCACGAATGGAGAGACCGACCCCACGGGCCCACGGGTCCAATTCCATTTGAGTTCCTGGGGTTCCAATAATTCCACTGGCCATCCGACCATCCGAAAAGAAGATGGTTGGATCCTAAAGGCCTATGAAAACGATGAAAAGTTGGTGCCTTTAGAACTTGGAGCGGATGATTCAATGATTTGATGGTTCAAAAGGAAACTTATGGAATATTTACCGGCAAAAATGGGGAGCTGATCGCCAATGCATCGCTTAAATCGATTTACCGCAACAGAAAGTTGAAACCTGAATCCATGGCTAGACCCGGAAGTCTATTGGGGTGTCCAGTTTCAACTTTCCTTGAAGCAAGTCTGGGAATGTTGATGTTTTGTGGAGCTAAGAACCTCTATTTGGAGACAGTTGAGTGAATCATAACAACCTCATCTCTCCCAGAAAAATGAATGTTCAAGCAAGGTGATGACTTCAAAAATGCAAACATGCTGGAAAGGAAGGTACAGTACTTAATAGTACTTAATACTGTTAGCCAAAAAAACTGGGAGGGTTGAACTACCATTTCTGCTGGTTTTTGCTCCATTGAACCACCATGATAGCATCATGGTTCGGGATGTTTTGAACTACTGTACCATGTTCTTTGAACAGGTTTCTTTCTGTACATCTTTGCTGATCGATCGTGAGTTTTTCAGATTCCCAAAAAAACACACACCGAACGCCCAGCTGAAGCTGCAGGTACTACTTGATGCGGAGGAGTTTCAAGGAGTGCCTTGGCATATCATCAAGAACTGAACTGAGACTTTTCGGGGAGATCGCTGATGTTCGGCATCCGGGACATGTTCTTCGGAGCTGGACAGGGAAATTTCTATGGCAGTCGCAGCTGTTGCAACAGAAGCGATTTATGGGATTTATTTGGAAATTGATCCTTGCCCTTTGAGTTCTTCCAGTTCTAGGGAAGAACACTGAAAAACCAAGCCGCTCACCAAGTTCCAACCATCTTAAGTAGTGGATTATCATGGATTATCCATGGATTATCCATGGATGATCCCCTAATTTTTGTTGGCTTTATCGGTTGTTTCCAAGTTTTGTCAACTTTGATGCGGACAGGACATCGGTATCGCCACCTGGTATCGCGTATCATTTTCCGCTGAGGCTCCCGTTGTGCCACGTCATTGGGAATGAGGCCAGCAGCGAGGTGATGTTACTTGTTGGTTGTGTCCCACCGAAAATGGCCTTGGGGAAATCCTCCGAAAAACACAATGGGAAAGTCATAGGGTAACAAATCTTGTGAAAGTATCTTATGCTTAATTATTTTATGCATAAATTTGCATAATCCTCATCCCCCAGCCCCTAACAAATATGGTAATCCTCTGATATCGTAAATGAGTGATCTTCCAGCAAGCCACGGCAAGAAAAACAGCCGGGCACTGACTCATCCGCCACGGGTTCCTGAGGTGCACTTTGGGGCAAAAAATCTATATCCATGTAGAATATCCTCAACCTATTCCGGGCTATCAACCTATGTTCCCAGTATATTTCCTCATTTTAATTTATATATATATACACATATATACACTGAATATAAATTATACATACATGTGTCTGTCCATCCTATAGATTTCCAGCAGATTTTGCCATGTCCCGGGATCTCCACGGTGTGCCCAAAACGTCATCGGTTTTCATCGCCAGATCTTCGTGGTGCACGGTGGGCTGCCCATGGATCCCATCGTGACGCTTCACGACATCAATGCCGTAGATAGGCAACGTCCAACTGCCTGCGACTCCAACACGGCCGTTGAACACATTTATGGTAACTAGATTAGATTATTATATTAGATCATTATTATGATTATTATTATTATTTTCATTGTTATTATTATTATATATATGTGTGTGTGTTATAAGTTATATGGGGTATTTGTTAATGGTTAATGTAATATGTTATATGGTTTTACATGGTTGTTATTATCCAACACATTTTAGATTTAATATCTATATGAATGATTTTGGTTATTTTAAGACTGTAAGATATAGTTGAAGAACATAGGCAGTCCATCTTGATTGGTATCGATGTATCAACATTTACAGTCCTTGTTGATTGATTATTGCAAAGTGATTGGTTATTGGTTATTGGGGATTTGTTCAAAAACCATATGAATGGGAAAACTATCCGTATCAAGTATGGTATGATGAGATGGGATAGGGTTATTTTTAATGGCTTACTATCTAAGTTGACGAAAAAGTATAACTGGGTGAATTCAACAAATGTTAATTTTATTTGTGATATCGTTTTTGAACTAGTTATACAATTCATAGAATTGGATGATGGGAAAATTTTACAGGAAAACCCTATATTTGATGGTAAAAACCATGGTTTCCTATAAATTTTCCCTTAAACCAATCCAGTGAATAATGGGGTGAAACTTAGCAACGTCACTGGGGCGCCCTGGTTTGGGGATGGTCCTTGAAATTCCGCTTCCCACTGTGGGACGACCAAGGTCTCCTGTAACGTGACGTAACATCACTGTGAAGGGCAACCCCATGGTGTTACAAGAAATGTCATAAATCAATATCCAGTATAATCACGAATATCCACTAATGATATATAGATATGGAATGATAATTATATAGAATTATGATATATAGATGTATATAATCTATCTAATATAGAATCATGTAGAAGCCGATGGAGAAGAACAAGAAGACGAAGAAGACGATGGAGAAGAAGAAGAAGAAGCATATAAATCATGAGTGTGTGATTTGCAGATGTTCCTAGTCGTCTTCCATTCTTGATAACCCCCTCCCATGTTCTCACAATCATATGCAGGCGTCATGATGTGCCAATCAAGCACTGCGCCCTGATGGGGTATCTTGGCGGAACCAGGTGCACTGAGCATATCTCGCCCAACGTCGATTGGGCAGACCTTGGGCAGACCTTGGTTGGGTAGGTTGGTTGATTATGTTTGCCAGAAATGAGAGAATCTGCTACATGTTTGCATAGTATCCAAAAATTGGGTCCAACAAATTGTGTGTTTGACTACTGTTATTTTAAAAAAATAAACGATTATAGTTGACTGTTTTATACATCTGGCAACCTCCAAAAATATGGAAAAGTAACGTATCAGAAGATATCACGAGTTAAAAGTGGAGGTTTAGTGAAGTGTACATCTCTATCACTGGTTGGTTGTTTGGAACATTTTCTATTTTCCATTTCATATATGGGATGTCATCCTTCCCATTGACGAACTCCATCATTTTTCAAGATGGTTATTGCACCACCAACCAGTATCATTATTAACCATCATTAACCATCATTAACCATTATTAACCATTATTAACCATGGAAATCCCATTAAATCCCATTAAATCCCATTAAAACCTTGGTGTTTCTTTCTATCAAACTTCGTCTCCCAGCTCCAGGGCCCAACGGCCCAACCATCTCAGGTACCCAAAGGGCCAAAAAGTCGTGGCTCGCAAGGCTGGTCGATGGCTGGAGAAATAGCCATGATGAGAGAAACTGGTTAAAAATATGTAGATAATATATGATAATATAGGTTTTTGAATGTCCATGGTCCATAAATATTTGGATAATGAAATAATTATACATATATGTTTATATATATATAAAGAGAGAGAGAGAGAGATTTTTTAATAGATGATATAGGTCTACAATATCTGGATAAACTATAAGGACCTCACTGCGACGTCACTATAATGCTTGTTAACTCCACAATAGCCTTAATATTCAGGTTTGTGAAATATTAAGATATATCTTAATTTCTCCAGATAATATGGCTAAGAATTGTGTGAGACCGATGTATCATATGGCTACTAATCACGAACAATCAGTTAATAATCAGTTGTGATTTTTTAAGATGTATGTTCAGCTAAACAAACTGATTGTACAAAGATATATAGATTTAGATCTATATTTTCTACTTACGAACCAAGGATTGGATGTTTTTCGATGGACTTACAAACCCCAAGAAGATCTCGAAACCGGTGGCAACACCATTCCGTACCGGCAGTCTGGTGCGGCACATCCTTAGGTCCGGCTTTCCTGGGTTGACATATAAATGGACACAACGTGAATCAAATGTGACTACCCTCCAGTAACTCAACATATGGAAAATCACCATGTTCATCCATGTTCAATATGTAAGTGATATATTACTATTAAATCATCCATCAACATGTCATTATTTATATAGCCACATTTCTTTCCGGTAGCTGTATTGCCCCCCACCAGGATCTGACGGGCAAAGACGGTGAGAAGATTTTCAAGGGAAGCAAAGGCGGGGTGTCCGAAAAACCCACGGCTTCCAGATGGCGTATCGGATGGTTGATGCTTTGGAACATATCCTTGGAAATATCCATGTTGAGAATGGCTTTTTGCATGGCACCTGGCCAGATCTGTAGAAGGGAAATATGAAAAATATGATGAACTTTGATTTGACCAGCCCCCCCTCAAAAAAGAGATTTTATTTATATAAATCAGCCAGGTTTTGTGCTTGGGGTTAACATTACTCCCAAATAGCCTACGGGAAAGCCAAACAATGGGTTTCAAACATGAACTTGTTCAGATAAATTTACAATATTTTACCCAAAACAAAAAGTGTCCAAGCTGTTTTTCTTCACATTTGCCCATGCCATGTTTGAGTCCAGTGTTGAATTTTGCGGGGCTGATAGACAATAAGTAAAATCCCGCGAACGTGATTAAGTACTTGTCGACATTTGCTTTGGGATTACTATATAGTATATAGTTTATGGGTTTTCCCTTCTCCAAATCGTGACAAACCATGATTTCGGGGGTGGATTTCGCACATCCTGCATGCCCCGATTCCAGTGCGGCATCGCGCTGTTATTGGAAAACCGGTCATGTCTGGTGTCAAGATTAATATGTCCCACAAAATAAACATAAATAAACAACATCAATCCTGATAGTCACCAGCTTGCCCTCAGCCTTAGCTGGACCTTCGGGATGGCGATGGAGAAAATTTCCTGATAGTCACATGATGTCTCATAGTTTACAGTTGTCAGGGTTGATGCCAAAACGATCCTTGCTTTTCTAAATTCTGCGCTGCTGTCCAGGTCGTTTATTCGAGCGCGTGCGCAAGTCGAATGACGTCCGGGGGCCGTGGGGGATATCGTGGGATCGGTCAAGTGGTGCCACATGGTGCCACTCCACCGGGGATGGGTTTCGCCATTGGTTTCGCCATCGCCTTTCCAAGGCCATTGTCCGGTTTTCGGGCAATTCTCAAGATGAAGTGGTGGTGACACTTGGCGAGAGAGGGAGCTAAGGAAGCCATGGATGTTCCCGAACGCGCTCCAAGGATTTAAGATATGAGTTTCGCAACCAGATGATAAGTAAAATTATATTATATCATGGTAGTCACATATCCCCATATATATCCCAACTTTCTCATTTCCTGCATTTTAATAACTTGATTAGCTTGCCCAGATGGGGATCACATCAAAGGCCTCCAAGTCAAATGGCCGAGGCAAATTTTTGGAGCACCTGAGTTAGAAGAAGAAATTGTTGCTTGGCCGAGGTGAATGGCGAAGAGCACGGGCTCAGTGAACCTATCATCACCATTGTTATGTGCTATTGTTATGGTGTGTTTATGAATGTGTGTGTGTGTGTTTGTGGTATTTATATGTATTTATATGCATGTTTATGTCTATGTATTTTTATGTATTTTTATGTATTTATATATATATATTATTTTCATTATTACTATAGATGTAATTATATATTATATAAATTATATATATAGAGTGTTTTTTTTAGTACATATACATACCATCTATAGTTGATAATACTCCATTGGAGGGCACCAACGGCTGTATGCTCCTGGACAACTGGCTCCATACGGAGACGGCCATTGGAGGCGCCACCAGTGGCGCCCAAGATGATGAAACCAGACGGGCACCGGTTAAACGGTTAAACCAGAGAAATGAGCTAAGGCAGCTAAGGTCAAGTTTGGAGAATTGGGTATATATATATGATTATATATGTAACTATATAATTATATAAGTATATATATATATATATCGAATATGGTTCATGATATGATATGATATGATATGATATGATATGATATGTGATGTGTGTGTCACTTGTGCAACATGTGTAACATTCCCATATGCTTCGTCATGTGTGGTATGTTTGGGTCATAATTGTCCAGGTATGTCTAGCTGGGGTTTCATGACAAGCACCAGCGTCAAGTGATCTCAACAAGTCTCGACCACAGTTCCTGCACAATGGAAGGTCAAGGGCTGAAACGTAGCCACATTGACATCTCTAAGGACATTATTTACAGCTCAGAGATGCTTGGCGGCGCGTTTTGTTCATGATTTCTTCAACTTCTTTCTCCCGAAGACTTGGAGACAGCTGTTTTGATACCTTTCTGGTAACAAATATACGTTGAATGCGGCGGTTTCATTGTAAAGCTGTCCGCAAGACCCATGCAGCTTCATGTTTGTGAATACCCGCTGCTGCCCCCAACACTCCGTATCAAATTTCTACAGGTCACAGTCCGCCAAAATTTACGCATAATTAATCCGTGGTTGTGTCCATGTGGCATTTGCACCTGTCATTGCATCACAGCAGCAATTGTATATGAGCAAGCGCAAAAAGATGGTATGAAGATATATGCATGTGGCCCCCCGTCGCTTCACAAATCTATGATTTACAGCTAAGAGCATTAGGGCGCCTTGAAGGGTACTGGGGACCTTGACGGGCGATACCCACAAAAAAAATGATTAGCATAGAATCAGTAGCAGGTTTTGATCGTGACATATCGTGACGACTATGATACATGACTCGTTTTCATGTTTTACATAATGTTTCTACTGTCGTCAAGTTTGTCAAGCAGTAAATATAGTAAATTACCATATGTTCACATATGCTCGCCAGATTCTCCAAGATTTTGATCGTCAACCCTCCCCAAAGCTTTGGGCTTTCCAGGAAGGAGCGCTTGCGACAGCGTCAGCATCGCATCTTTGTGTCTCTCCTGTGGAGTGTGGCTCGGTAATACAAACATGGATGGCTGGGAAGTCCCCCTTCGGTAAATGGAGGATTTACCATCTGGTTGTGACTAACATCGCCATGGTATAGATGGCCCATAGAAATAGATGGTCTACCTGGGTTTACCTATTAAAAATGGTGATGTTCCATGGCTATGTTAAACAACCAGAGGGCAACGAAAAATACTCGAACTATACCGGAGGGCAATTAACCATGACTGAATCATGATTTAGAGCATCAAATACATGTGGAGAAACTGTGATAAACGATGGTTGGTGATGAAAAAGGAGTTCTACTGCCTGATGCCTAATCATGCCTCAACTATGTGGATTCCGACAAGACCTATGAACTGGGAACCCCTAGCACCAAACATATCCAACAAATAGAAGATGGTACCACCAGTGAACAGGGCCAGATCCACAGCTCATGTTTTTTCCAATCCACTCAAAGTTGGTGATGGCTGCAGTAAATCACTACATTGAGATACCACGCATTGGTGATTCAGAAGACCAACTGGGGAGCAACTGGGGCACATTGTTAGCATAACTGGTTAGCACAACCCAGTTTCAGCCCAGACGTTGGATTGCCACTGGAGTCATAGGCGAAGATACCGTTTGACCCCAAAAAAAAGTACCTGGAAAAATGTGGTGACATGTGGTGACATGTGGTGACATAAATGTAACATATATCCCTTATGATTTGGGACCTTTTGCCATTTTCCTACTTGAGAAGGTCGTTTTCAGGTCGTATTCAAATCCATGGTTCACGGCGGAGCGCTCATCGTCCCCCCCCATGGATTTAGTGTTTTTGTTTCCCTATTGCCAGTGACCAACATTGGGGGTACTCCAAATGTTCAGATAAACATAACCCCCAAAAAATCATATATGTCCCATGGAAAATCCCATATCAAATTCAAGGTATCATGATTTTCCCAGAAAAGCCAAAATCAGAGTGTTGATCATATGTCCCACTACCACCAAAAGGATGGTTGAAACCCTATAGTGGGATGTTTACCATCTATCAACTGGTGCAGGATTTGGCAACCATCCACAGTATGTCCCACAGGGGAAGGTTTCGTTTTAGAACGCGGGATAATACTCAATTTGAAACGCGACTTTATTACTCATTTTGAAACGCGACACACTCTGTGCCATGGTTTCCATGATATCTGTGTGGTTTCCATGGTTTCCATACTTTCTTTGCGGTTTCCATGGTTTTTGTGGTTTCCATGATCTCTTTGCGGTTTCCATGGTTTCCATGGTTTCCATGATTTCTTTGCGGTTTCCATGGTTTCCATGGTTTCCATGATTTGTCTGCGGTTTCCATGGTTTTCATGATTTCTTCTTGCGGTTTCCATGGTTTCCATGGTTTCCATGATGTCTGTGCGGTTTCCATGGTTTCCATGATTTCTTGGCGGTTTCCATGGTTTCCATGGTTTCCATGATTTGTCTGCGGTTTCCATGGTTTCCATGATTCTTTGCGGTTTCCATGGTTTCCATGGTTTCCATGATTTGTTGCGGTTTCCATGGTTTCCATGGTTTCCATGATTTGTCTGCGGTTTCCATGGTTTCCATGATTTGTCTGCGGTTTCCATGGTTTCCCTGTTGTCCAAGATTTCTGTACGGTTTTCATAGTTTGCACGGTTTCCATGGTTTCTGTGTTTCCTGAAGCCTCCCAATGCCAACAAGTGAACCGTCCTGGAACCCTGAACAGCAACTGAGATCCCGACCCCAACCGGAAAAGAAATGTTTCAACCCAAAAAACAAAACCAAGTTTCCCCAAAACTCCAAGCAGCCACCTCGCTGCTAGCTGACGCACCTTTGTGCCGCTTGACATCTAAAAGGCTTCGGTCCGGCCCAGATGCAGGTTCTTCAGGATTCCTAGACAACACCCGGTGAGTTGAAGTCTGGACAACACCCGGTGGGTTGAAGTCAAAGCAAAAGTGGAAGTATTTCCATTTGAGAATTGGGTAAATAGGGATGCATGGAATTCTTACACGCACTCCCCCTATGTGATCAGTTCCACTGACCACATATTCAGCTCAAGCCCTCTAAACAAGTCATAACAAGTCTATCATCTGCAGTGCAGCAAATCGCACATGGATTGAAGGCCCGGAGTGGACCATTGGATCCCGCATCACGACAATGCTCATAATTAATCAACATGAAGTGCATATCCATGTGAGATCGCATACAGCCTATGTTGGGGAACGTCTGACTGTGGGCCACATCTGTGACATCGTGGCGTCAGACAAATTTCCTTGGCATGTCTAAGACCATGACATTCACGGTCACAGTGGTATCTTCCACCAAATGGCGTGGTGAAAAGGGGTTTTGGTCCTCTTTGGGAACGATCGGGAGAAGCATCAAAAAAAATAAAAATGCATCAAAAAAAATAAAGATGCATCAAAAAAAATATAAATGCATCAAAAAAAATAAATGACCATGAAGAAAGGGGGGAAGGAGGAAAGGAGGGAAGGAGGAAAGGAGGGAAGGAAGGAAGGAGGGAAGGAGGGAAGGAAGGAAGGAAGGAGGGAAGGAGGAAAGGAGGGAAGGAGGAAAGGAGGGAAGGAGGGAAGGAGGAAAGGAGAAAAGGAGGGAAGGAAGGAAGGAAGGAAGGAAGGCAGGCAGGCAGGCAGGCAGGAAGGAAGGAAGGAAGGAAGGAAGAAAGGAAATAAGGAGGGAAGGAGGAAAGGAGGAAAGGAGGGAAGGAAGGAAGGAGGGAAGGAGGGAAGGAAGGAAGGAAGGAGGGAAGGAGGGAAGGAGGGAAGGAGGAAAGGAGGAAAGGAGGGAAGTTGGAAAGGAGGGAAGGAGGAAAGGAGGGAAGGAGGAAGGAGGGAAGGAGGGAAGGATGCAAGGGGGGAACGAAGGGAAGGAAGGAAGGAAGGAAGGAAGGAAGGAAGGAAGGAAGGAAGGAAGGACCATGTGTGCAGTCAACACTTATCATCGGGTATTTGCGTTCATTTCATCTTCATTGATCTCCATCGCGCCTT